ACCCCAGACCCCTCATAGCCCCCCCTTCTGATAGTCTGACATATCTGATAATCCGGCACCCCCTGGGTCCTATAGGTGCTGGATTATTGGAAGTTTACTGTATATGTTTATCTAACCTGCTCTTAACTATCAGGGATGATTCTAGGCCAGAGTTTCTCAAACTTTTTTTTATAAAGAATCCCCTTTTCAAAAAAAAAAGTACCCCCAAAGCCAGGCACCCCCAGCCCCTCCGTTCTAACCCAGTGCCCCTCCCCTTCCCAAGAGCCAGGCAGTGGACATATGGTAACCCTGCCTTTGAAATGCCCTCTCTGCCACCGGCCCTGCCTCGGTGACTTGTCTGCAGGGAGCAATTGGCCTGCCAGCGCTGGGTTCGCTGCGTGAGGCTGTGCGCTCCCATCCCAGTCCAGCACCCCCCCAAGCATGGTGCCTGGGGACAACTACCCCTCGCCTCGCTAAACCAGTAGTAGGAGTATCCCGAAATAGCTCTCCTGCATCTTCACAGCAAGTCTGTTATTTCGGGCTTGCTATTCTAACATCCCTGTAAACCTCATTGTACCAGGAGTAAGGGACGTTTCGGAATAGCGCTTTATTTTGAAATTTGGCACTGTGTAGACAATTCCAAATGACAAAATAAACTATTTTGAAATACCACTGAAATAAGATACGCAATTTGAGCTACACAAATTGCGTACCTTATTTTGAGTTACAGTGAAGTGTAGACACACCTTAGGTTACCTCCCCCATTCAATAAAGCTCCCATGCCCTCTCTGGCACCAGTCACACTTACCTGTTTGTGTGCTCTTGTGTAGAGAGATTATTCTTCCAAGGGAGCGGGCCAGTAATTGACTCCTAAATTGAGAGAGCCACGTTGCTCTTTAATGGTTTAGGGATAGTACTTCATTGAATTGTGAAACAACTTTCTGAGGCACTGCTGCTGTGGGGAATACTATAGAATAGTCTGCTCTTGAAATGTCTAGGCTTATGCAGTTAGTGTCCAGAATTTTCATAGTGCATGACTGAGTTGATAATTTGATCCAGACATAACCTGCTCTGCTACAGTAATATCTTATAAATGTGTAAATTTTAAAAAGCATTCGGTAAACATTCTCACTTTGCATCACGGCTAATCAGTGTAGTTCTGTTCTGCTGTGTTTATGTCCAGTGTACTTTAAAACAAACTAAGTATTACTAATATTCATAGAATCATAGAATACTAGAACTGGAAGGGACCTTGAGAGACCGTCAAGTCCAGATACCTGCCCTCGTGGCAGGACCAAGCACCATTTTTATCATCCCTGACAGGTATCTGTCTAACCTGCTCTTAAATATCTCCAGAGATGGAGATTCCTCAACCTTCTTAGGCAATTTATTCCAGTGTTTAACCACCCTGACAGGAAGTTTTTCCTAATGTCCAACTTAAACCTCCCTTGTTGCAGTTTAAGGCCATTGCTTCTTGTCCTATCATCAGAGGCCAAGGAGAACAATCCTTCCCCGAGATGAAATAAACTCCCCCCCCCCCCCCGCTCCGTGCCAGTCTTTTAGACACCTGAAAACTGCTACTATGTCCCCTCTCAGTCTTCTCTTTTCCAAACTAAACAAGTCCAATTCCTTCAGCCTTGCCTTATAACTCAGGTTTTCTAGACCTTTAATCATTTTTTTTGCTCATCTCTGGACCTTATCCAATTTCTCCACATCTTTCTTGAAATGAGGTGCCCAGAACTGGTCACAGTATTCTAATTGAGGTCTAATCAGTGTATAGAGTGGAAGAATGACTTCTCATGTCTTGTTCACAACACTCCTGTTAATGCAACCCAGAATCGTGTTTGCTTTTTTTGCAGCAGTGTCACATTGTTGACTCATATTTAGCTTGTGGTCCGCTATGACTCCTAGATCCTTTTCTGCAGTACTCCTTCCTAGACAGTCACTTCCTATTCTGTATGTGTGAAACGGATTGTTCCTTCCTGAATGGAGTACTTTGCATTTGTCCTTATTAAACTTCATCCTATTTACTTCAGACCATTTCTCCAGTTTGTTCAGATCATTTTGAATTATGACCCTATCCTCCAAAGCGGTTGCAACCTCTCCCCAGTTGGTATCATCTGCAAACTTTATAAGGATACTTTTTATGCCATCATCTAAATATTTATATTCCTCATCTCTTTAAATTTTAGCTGTCCCTTTTCCACCAACACATCGCTTGACATATGAAGAAGTGTTTGATATAGATGGAAAACCTAGGGTTGACATTTTGAAGAACCACTTAGTAAAAGAAGGTCGGGTAGATGAAGAAATTGCACTTAGAATCATCAATGAGGGTGCTGCAATTCTACGAAGAGAGAAAACAATGATAGAAGTTGAAGCTCCAATTACAGGTAATACCTTTAGTTTATACCTCAGATGCATAAAGTAAAAAAAAAAGGCCATGACTTTTATATGAGAATGTAAGGAGGCTACATGATGAAGGCCTTTTCTTGTGGGAAAATAAATGTAAAGGTGATTTTCTCAGAACAGTCATGTTGAACTTGCCCTTAGACCAGCTTTTGTATAACTCTCTTTGGGTACTCAACATAACTTTGCATCAAAAAATGTGGAAGAAAGGAGGGAATAAAATCTGTTTGGAAAAAGCAGTAGGATTAGTAATATAATGTCAAAAGGCAAAGCAGTTTCTGTAATCGTTGTAACAATAATAAATGTCAATGAAAAGATGTAATAATCCAGAAGAGAAAAGTGAGTGTGAAAGAGAAGATTGGATTGTACTGCAGTCTAAAATTTGTGGGATGGCACAAGAGCATCCATTTGCTGAAACAGGTGTTTTGAAGGTCTGAAGGAGAATATTCATGATTCTTCTACCTTAAGAATTCTAGTTTTCATGTGAAACATGATGATTTCTTGGTAGTCTGAATTCAAAGAAGTTAAGATCAACCTGATAAAATTGTGTACTAAGTAGTACAATGTATAGGACCTTATCCAGATGGAATGTTGAAATGGCTTTTGTTTTTGAAAAGGTACTGTAGTACTTTCAGGTTCTGACCACTCACAAACCATATTTGACTTAGATAAAGATGCTACTCTAATCTTTTGAATTTTTTATTTTTAAAGAGACAAATAGCCAGATAGAAATTACGTTGTTTATATTATGTAGCTGCCATTCAGAGTGGAAAAATTTGATTTTATGGAATCTTTTTATTTTGGATATTTTTAAAGATTTAATACATTTTTTTTCTAAAAATAAAACATTCATGCTAACAGATTTAACTGTAGCAACCTATGTATGGGTCTAAACTTATTATACTCTATTAAAATAATTAAAATTGAATTATAAAAATATTTTAGTAGTACATTTGCTGCCCAAGTCTTAAAGTCAAACCATTGAATTGCTGGAAGTCACTGTCTAAGCACTTGGAATCAGAGTTTGTTGAATTGTTAAACCAGCTTTTGACAACAGTAGCCTCTTCTGCGGGTATAGAGAGAACATGATCTTCATTTCTGTTTACTCAGCTAGTTCATTTGAATGAGAAGCTCATTCAGAATTGAGAAATCAATTGGGAATTGAAAAAAGCAGGAGAGCTTGTTTTCCAGTCTATCAATAAAAATTAAGAAACAAAAACTGATCTGGTAGTACTTTAGAGACTAACAAAACAAGTAGATGGTATCATGAGCTTTCGTGGGCACAGCCCACTTCTTCAGATGATAGAGTTTTGAGTTTAGGATGGACTGTGCCCACAAAAGCTCATGATACCATCTACATGTTTTGTTAGTTTATAAAGTGCTACCAGATGAGTTTTTGTTTAAGTTTATCCTGTACAGAATAACTTGGCTACCCCCTGAAGCAATAAAAATTAAGTCGGCGATGAGTTATAAAATCTTGAAAAACATGGTGACCAGAAATAATCCATTAATTTCACTAATTACTGGTAATATTTTCTTTTTAAAAAAAAACAGTTAGTTTTACATGTAAAATGTTTTGATAAACCTTCTTTTAATTATGAAATAATTTAAAATAAATGAGCAAATTTAATTGAATTCTAATTTCCATCGCAGTGCAGCTTGACATGAGTACAAAATTAATCCTTTAATAAAGAAAAATTGTTCACCATTTTCTAAAATAATTGAAAATGAAAAATTTTAATACATTTATTTTAAACCAGTGTTTCTCATCCAGTGGTACGAGTACCCTTAGGGATACTTGAGATAAATCTGTGGGGTACATCAACACAACTGAAATTTGGAGAAAACTGAATTTTTGTTCAGTTTCACAGCGCTTTTGTACTTTTTACACCCACAAATTTCATCGTCCACCCGGCTACGATCAAGTTGTTTCAACAGATGTGTTGCAACGGTAGAAAAAAATGTTGTGTGTCTGAAAATTGTAGGTACTGGGGGTACTTATAATTTTTGTTAAAGGGGGTACTTTTTTAAAAAAAAAGTTTGAGAAACACTGTGTTAAACTATATAATTGCTTAAATAAATGTGTCAATGTTCAGGATTCAGAGGGGTAGCTGAGTCAGTCTGTAACAGGAAAAACGTAAACAACAAATAGACTAGTAGCACCTTAAAGACTAACAAAAAACATGAGGTTTTGTGGGCGCAAACCACTTCTTCAGATGACTGGAGTATTAGAAGAGGTTTTGTGGGCGCAACCCACTTCTTCAGATGACTGGAGTATTAGAAGTCCAGATCCAAGAATAAGTAAGGGAAGGGTAGGGGGAAGGAGAGGAAAAAAGGGGGGGGAAAGAAAAAACAGACACAGACAGGGTGTGTCTACATTGCAAAGTTAATTGGAAATAACAGCCATTATTTCGAATTATAGGGGGAAGGAGAGGAAAAAAGGGGGGGGAAAGAAAAAACAGAGACAGACAGGGTATGTCTACATTGCAAAGTTAATTGGAAATAACAGCCATTATTTCGAATTAACTTTAATAACGTCTATACATGCAAACCGCTATTTCGAAATTAATTCAAAATAGCGGAGTGCTTAATTTGAATTTGGTAAACCTCATTCTACGAGGAGTAACGCCAAATTCGAAATAGGGGGCCTCCAGCCCTTCCCAGGGAGCCCTGGTGGCCTCTCTGGGCACAACCAGGAAAACTTACTCTCCTCTCCCCCAGCCCTGGAGCCATTAAAGGGGTA